TCTGGGAAAGAAAATTTTGGATTCCTACTGTCTAAATAAATTGTTGAACTTGGAAATGATAGCCATCCTTGATCTGTACCTAACCCTCTTTTTCAGCTATCTTAGTGGTCTTCTACTAAGACATAAAATCTATATTTTTCTTTTTGCAGCAATTGAAATCTTTCTGATTATTCAGGGCCTGGTTGAGAAGTATCCACTTTTCTTATCACCACCCAAAAGATGTGAACTCCTTATTTTGATTATCCACAGTACTTGGTGTGTCTCCATCTTAGTTGTGACTGGGACTGCTATATATTAATATTAGCCTGTTTCCTTCTCTTCCTGGGCATGTAGCTAGACCTCGTTTCCCAACTTAGTTTCTATTAGATGGGTCCATGTGACTAGCTCTGGCCAACAGAAGAATGTGAGACAAAGGAGATAGGCCAATTTGAAGTTTGGCCCCTAAACGACCTTCCACGCAATCTGCCATGCCCTTTCTCATTGCTTTTCTGCTAATGAGATTCCAAGGATCCCACTGGGTGACCTAGATTCTGGGCTATGGAAAGTCACCAGGTGGAAGGACCCTAGGTACCAAATGTTTTAGTGGAAACTGACAAACAGTGAGAAATGATATGAGTGAGAAATAAGCTTTTATTGTATCAAGCCAATGAAATTTTAAGGTTGCTTGTTAAAGCAGTTATCCTGCTCTGTCCAATTCGTAAGTGTGGCTACTGTGTTAGTTATATTTTAGTCATGTACAGTATATGTCCTATGTCTTCTGTTTTCTCAGTGCCTAGGATGATGTTTTTGCGTAGCAGAGATTCAATGTATCATTCACAATGTAAAAACAACATCTTAAATTTAGAGCTTATGGGGAAAGTTCTATAGTCATTACTAGATAAGAGGTAGTAGGAGCTGAGAAGAGAGCAGTCCATCTTTCTAAAGAAGGGGTGCTGAAAGGCAAGTGACCAGGCATTGCTGACAGCACTTCCAGCACTTAATTCATGACATCACCACTAGTAGCAACAGTTGGATTTTACATCCTAATGGTCAGGAGCCTTCTTGAAAGAGAAAGGCTCTTCCCTGCAGGAAACCAACAGGGCTCAGAATCTGAAGATTACAACAGAGAGGAAATTAGTGTCAAAATGTATCCCTAGAAAGCTTAACTTTTTATAGCCTCAGGTGACCTTTGGGGGGCATCTATTGATCACTGAACCCCCCCCCCTTTTTTTTTTGAGGCAGAGTCTAATTCTGTCTTCCGGGCTAACGTGCAGTGGCATCATCATAGCTTACTGCAACCTCCAACTACTGGGCTCAAGCGATCCTCTTGCCTCAGCCCTCCAAGTAGCTGGAACTACAGGCATGTGCCACCACACCCAGCTAATTTTTCTATTTTTTGTACAGACCTGTCTCACTCTTGCTCAGGCTGGCCTTGAACTGCTGGCTTCAAGCAATCCTCCTGCCTCAGCCTCCTGAAGTGCTAGAATTACAGGTATGAGCCACCATGCCCAGCGGGAGGCCCCTATTTTAATGAGAGAATAGAGACTCAGAGAGGTATATTACAATCCCAAAGTTCCTGATCCAACACTTCTTTTTCATAGATACCTTTATTCCCCTAGTTTAAAAGATAAAATAAATTTTAAAAAATACCTTCTTCGATCTGCTATTACTAGAGTACATCCTCTCCTCCTTCCCCCAGCTCTGTACCAAAGACCAAATGAAACATATGTGTGAACAGAGAGTATATTTTGTGTTGGAGAGGAAGATTGTTGTGTTTTGTTCAACCTTGAAATTATAGGATTCTGAAAGGCCTGTCACTCTAGTGTCCCTGGTTAATAAGGCTTAAATACAGGTCCAAGAATACTGAAATTATTTAGTGGAAAGGGCACTTTCTGAAACTAGATGCACAAAAGTATTCCGTCTGAAACACTGCCAGAATCCACAGGTTCATAGTTCTACCGAATATTAACCCTCCCACTCCCCTCACTGAACCGATGTTCTCTGTCTTTATCATTCCCTGTTGTGACTCCTGCAGACTCTATCATTCATTCAAATGTGTCTAACCTACTGCTCAGGCATAAATACCTCCCATATGTAGTCTGCACATGCTACTTTCATGCCACCCTTGCCCTCATCTTCTCAAACCAGCATGGGCTGGTGAGTGCACCTCTATCTCAAAGAGTAAAAGGAAGAGAACTAATAAGTGCTTGTGTTTGCTTGTGGTGTTTTTATGTTCCACAAGGACCATTATTTGGTAACAATCTTTTCATGTGTCTGATGCCACACCGTACCATAAGCTCAGTGAGGACTCAGTACAGCCTCAGGATCCAAAACTTAGCAGACATGCATTCAGCATACATTTATGTGACAAATGTTCACAGAATGCTCAGGTGCTTTCCATACATTCTCTAATCTAGTTGTGCCAACAACACTTCAAAGGAGACATTAGTATCCTCATTTCACAAATGAGGAAAGCCGAGACTTAAATAAGTCAAACCACTTGTTTACAAATCAAGGCAGTGCCATGATTCTTATCCACATTGGATTTACTCTAAAATCGGATGTTGTCTGTGGATCCCCTTAGTCTATTTGGTGATAATTCCTTCTATATCTTCTTTCCCACCTCTTCTTTGCACCTTCTCACTCTGACTAACCCTTTTCTCCCTCCTGCCGATATCCCTTTATCTGTCTTCTCCTATTCCCTCAGACTCAGTGGTTAAAATGGGGGATTAGGTTTTTCAATTCACCAGAGTCATTTCTGGAACACTGGTTTTCCACTTTCTTCCTGATTCCGATTCTTTGAAGTCCAGCTATAACATCTTTCTTAAAATTTTCCATGCTGTTGTCTTTCACTTCTCCCAGCCCTAAGGCAATTTAACTTTAGCATCTGATTTACTCTTCCTTCTGTACCCTGTTCTCAACAATTTAATGGTGCATACAAATGACCCGTCACATACCTCAGACTCTCAGGTTTCCAGACTTTGAGCCTTGATAGTTCTTACTAGAACTGCCTACCTATTCCTTATAACTCAGTAATAGCTTTGTTACACCCTGGGTTCTAATTTAGAATTCTCGTAATTCCTATTATCTCTCAGTTGGCATTGCACCCACCAAAATTACATGTCCTACAATACTATTGTTTAGCCATTTTCTCTTAAAACTCTCTTGGCCTTCAAAAAGTCAAGTGCTACTTTATTTCTCTACTCTTTTATTTGTCATGGTATTGAGGACTCTGTATCTATAAATCAAATAATGTTAAATCCTTTGGAGGGGATACATGCAAGGACATGGGGTAAATCCGGCTTTAGTGTGACTATTTCTTCTGTGATGTGTTAAGTAATCTGCTTTATAAGGTGTTCGTAATAGTTTCTTGCAAACAAGGAACCCATTTCTCTGAATCCGTAATAACTGGGCTCCCCCTAGGGGGCGCTCCGTCTCACAAAATATAAGCGGCTGACGGCAGCGTGCCTATGGGATGGGCTCGCTCTGAGAGGCGGCCTCACTGGAGAACCTCAGCCCTCAAGAACGAGCTTGGGTAAGAAACAGGTTAGAAAACCTATTCAAGTCCATAGCCTTTAAATAATGCCTGCTACGAGCCTAAGCCAGTCCTGGGTATCCAGAGTTTGCGAAGCAAGGGCTGGGAGAGGGAGCAACATGCACCAGAGAGATTTCTTTTCTCTTTGGCGTTCCCTCAGCTGAGCCAGCTCAAGCGGATGGAGTTTGCAGGGCTGCACTCCCAGCAGTGTCCTTGGGACGGTCTGTACAGAATTAGACTGAGCTGAATTCTGGACAAAGCCCGTCGTGTACCCCTCTCGGCTGGGTAAACGTTACTCCCAAGACATGCTACAGTCAACTCATTTTAGAAGCAAAGTGTCAAGCAATTAGCCATTGAAAGACCCAGCTCTTACCCAGGAAAGGAGTAACAACAACTGTGATAGGAGTTCAGTACTGAAGTACAGAGATGAGACGACTTTGAGTTATTCTGGTGCTTGCTGTCTGAGGTCCAGACAGTACTCGTGACCCTCTTATCCTCACAAGAGTAACCACAATTCCCTCGAGTGAAGAGCCTCCCGATTCACTCATGGACTTGGCTGGTTTTCGTCTCACCCCCGACCTTTGTCATCAATTGACTAAGGGCTATTTGTTTTTCCAATTCTGTATTAGAAAAAAAAAATGCATAGGGGATCGGACGTCGAATGTGTTTCTAAACTCCGCAGCTCTGGGTAGGCAGCCTCATTCGGGCGGGGTAATGCTGGGTGCTGTTTGCTGTTCCCAGTCTGGGAAGCCCCCGCTTCCCACCCAGAGCGGCCCGCGCGGCTCCAGCTGCCCCCGCAGGGCCGGAGGAGCCCTGGCCTTAGCCCCGCCCCGCTCGGGCCGCCTGGGTGGCAGCGGTGCCCGAGGTCCTCAGCGCCGGCCGGGTGTGCAGCAGGCGCGCGCGTGTGGGTCAGTGTGTCTGCGTGCGTGTGTGTTTGTGTGTGTGTATGTGAGAGAGAGATGAATTGCAGTCATCCGACTGGGTGTTTCCTTCCGAGTGGTTTTGATCAGCAATCCATTAGTGGATCATGGAAACTTTTTTTTTCTGGCTAAAAGGATGAAAACTGAGTAAGTACACAGAACTTTGAACTTGAAACGGAATGAAACAAATACAAGCAAAACCCTGACAGTAACCATGTCCATTCAAAGCGCTTACTCCCTTTTTATGTTAAAAGCCGTGAATGCTTACAGGAAAGTGGGAATTTAAAGCTGAATGAAGGGCAGCTTACAAAAGGCTGAAAGCAGGACTGCTTTAAAACCCGGAGGAAAAATGAGGAACTGCTAAGGCAACCTGGCCTGCGTCCAGCTGTGCAACAGGCACTTTGGTTTTAACCTATTGCATTCTTCAAGGCTGTTTTCAGACTCCAGATTTACTTTGGTGTTGTTTTCTCTCTTCCTGTGAAGCTGAGGCAGAGTCGGACTCCTTTGCTGTGAGTTGAAGGATGTTGTGAAAATAAGGCATTGCCGGAAGCAACGGTTTGGCAGCAACACTCAGGTTATTTGTTACATCTATTATTATTTTGATGTCTTTTTTTAACCCTGGTCAGCTACTTTTTACTGTCATCCATGGAAGGGCTCTCATTAACCGCCTCAGACTTTTGGGACCTATGATTCTTTGGCATGACCCTTCGGAAAGTTCTTAAGCAGGGATGGAGCAAACTTGATTGGAGTTGTGGAAAAAGAGGACAGATTTGTATTTTTCATGCTGACAAAAATTAGCTGCTATGACTTTTCCCGCAACGTGGACAGGGGCCAAGTGAAGCTGAACTGGTCATGATCTGTCGCCCAGTGCTCCCTTGTCGTCGGCGATTTTGCCCCCGGCCCTTCTTGGTGGGCTTGGTTGTGGCGATCTGTCTCTTCTACCAGACCCTGACCCTCCGAGGGACAAGGAAGCTCACAGCCGCTGTCCCTGGCGCTGCCCCACGCTCGTCCACTGGAACCCAGGCAAGCAGATGCAAGAAAGAATTCTCGCAGGACAAACAGTGCTTCCTTCTCTCTGGTGATGCACAGGAAATCAGAAAGGTAAGACTCTCTCTCATAAGCTTAACGGAGACAGTTTCTGCAAAGGCAGCAGTCTGCCTCTCTGTCCTTTCTGCAAAACTAAAATTAACTTCCATGAGGTCTGAAAGGGATCCAGAGTATAAACAGCCTAGAGAGTGACCTGATGACAGGGAAACACATTACATAAGCTTCAGCTTCTTATATTTACTTCCAGAAAGTTCTGGCCAATATTTTCTCTCTTAGCATTTCACTTCATTTCAGCAGAATGAAATAGACAATATGCAGGAGGGGAGAATGATGCAAATTCTTTCTAAAATATTAGGATTCTAAGAGATCTGAGGATTTACAATTTGGAAACATAAATCAAAGATTCAAAAAATGTGATAAACACTGAGTGTCTTTTTCCTCAAGGTGGTCAGTATGAGTACCCAGACCATTACAGACCAAAAGATATTCCAAAATTCTATTTTATAATTAGCTAAATCAATTCTTAATCGGTGAACACATTTCTGAAGCAATATATGTATTTCTAAACCATTTAAAAGAAAAGTATAAGTTTCTTCAAAACAATTGACAACACTCTGTTTTATTGGTTATAGAGTTAGAGAAATAGAGATTTTTTTATATTTACACGATTCTGGTAAACCACTAATCTTACTTGTCAAGTGTTGAAAAAAATACAAAACAACAAAACCCACAGAATTTCTGTTTTAATATACCCCCTCTGTTCATGCGTATCAGTAAAACTATGATCTGTAAAACAGTCCAGTATAAAAAGAAAAAGAAAAAAAAAAAAACTACACACAAAAAAATCGTGGTGGAAAAGCTACTGAATTTTATGCTACAGCAAGTAGTATCATGGCAAGATAATTTAGGAATCTGTAAGTAGTACTCTGTATCTACAGTAGAGCTAGGTGGATCTTATGATCCTGGTTATTGTTTGAAGCAGAATTTCCTCTTGAATACTAGCTCTACTGCTACCATTATTACTGATACCTCCAGCGCCACTTGTTTTAAAAAGTCTTTTATTTATTTAATTTCAGGTTTATACCCTGTGAGATAGGTACAGTAGGTATGATTGTCATCATTTTGCAGGTAAGATGACTGACACTCAAAGCCGTTTAGATAGGCCACATGGCTAGCATTAGGACAAGATGCATCCCCAGAGGAACAGTTATCAAGCCGCTTGGTTCCTATTGCAGGACTGATGCTCTGAATCAAAGTGAATTCAAAGCTCTCATAATAATTTGTGAAACCACAACTACAAGAACTTATTGAAATAGAAAATAATTTTAGATTAAAACGAAGAAAATTTGAAAGCTTTTAAGTGAATGACTTCATTTGTTATCCATAATGTTAAGGAACATCTTGACCAACAAATATCTTATGGCAAAGAATAGCAGGTAATATAATTAGCAGAGCTTTTAGATGACACTTAAACTAAAAGTGTGAATCAGTTTTTACTGATATAAAGTATTTGAAGAATGTGTATTTTTTGTTCATTTATACTAGCATTAACTTTTATTTCCATTATTTTTCTTTTCACGAAGACATCAAATTTATGATAGATGTAAACTGTGACTTTGAAGGTCACTTCTTCTTAGTTTCTAGTATCGATAAATATAATTTCTTCAAAAATAGTTGAAATAGTTTTACTCTTAAGTGACTACAATTTTTGCTAAGAATTTTGGATAAAAAGGTTTTATTCACTAACTTGCAGCCTTTTTGACTCCCTTGCTTGACTCTGTGATTCCTGCTTTTTTGGTAAGTTAGGCATATGTTAACCGCTATTTGTGGGCTGTCACAGAAAATTCCATTTCAACTTTAAATCTCTTGCTACTTACAAACCATCTGAAACTTATTGGCTGCTGGTGTAAAACATTCACTCTAGAATTTTCTTCACCAAAGTGCCAAACACATGATGATTTTGGTTTCCAAATGATTCACAGTCTTTTATATTTTAATCATACACAAGATTCTAAATTCACAATTATAGTTTAGTATCCCAGTAGATATGAAAACTGAATTATCAAACATTAGCTATGTACCTCCATTTTTAACCTGTGCCAGTTGTTGGTTTAGAGCCAATTTTTATCTGAGATATGAAGAAATCTAGAAAGAATCAGATACATGTTAGTTAAAACCAGATGCAAATTCGTTCTACTTGTAATATATGTTCCAAAAAGGAATCAAATAATAATCTAGTTTTAAATGATCAGATATTCTTTAAGATATCTAAAACGAAGAAAGAACTTTCTTTGGGATCAATATATAGATCATTCTCAAAAAAACTATGTGTGAAGTTCATTTGAAAAATAACTGATGAGATGCTATTATATATAGGTTTTTCTAAAGACCTAGAATTAGCTTTCAGGCATTTAATAGAAGTAGCATTGTTTCTACCTATAAATTTCATATTTTGTTATTACTTTTTTTTGAAAAAACAAAATATTTGTGTTACTAGAGGTTTTTCTTAGTTGAATCCATCCGTCTTTGAGTTAAATGTTTTTTAGTTACTTAAGACATGAATCCTGTGGCTCATGGATTCCAGAATGTATCTGAATGTAGAAAATGTTTATAAACTCCAGAAATTTTATGCAAAATATTTTATGCATGTGTATGTGCAGATCTCTGGAGTAAAATATCATTGATTTCTGTCAGCTAGAACTAAAAACATGCTAAAAACCACCAAAAATGCTTAACAACCAGTATGTTTACACGTTAAACTACCTGCCCCTTCAGGATGTGTAAATTGGATCGAGCTTTATAAACCTAAAATGAAAAAAATCTTAATTAAAGACTTCAACTGAGGATATTAAAACAAGTGTTTCAGTGAATTTTGTAGTGTCTGCAGGGATAAACATTCAGAAGTATACCCACAGAGTATTTCTTGGATCAGAGTTTTTGTTCATTGATGAACAAGCATTAAGTATTCCCAGTCTTTTTTGTTGCAGTCGTTTCTCTGAGAAGACCCTTTATACTTTATCAGCCTTGTAACAGGGTTCTGTAGTAGCAAAGATTTGAAGGTGGGTGACTTTGCCCTATACACCTTTACAATCGGGATCCATTTCAATGTCTAAAGCTGTTTTCAATATGGATTGAGATCATGATATAGTATATGCCAACTTTCCATAATGAGGAAGTACTCTCCCTCTTTCTTGCCAAATTTTAATTCTTTTTTCCACTTGAACATTCCAAAGGGCCTTGCTAAGCAGATGTACTTTTGTCATTTCTTCTGGATTTTCTCCCAGCATTAGTTGTTTGAATATTGTCTGATAATATGCTGAGTCTTAAAATTATTTCTATTTAATATATAAACATAGTTGTGTTGTCTTCACTGAAATAGGTCACTTAGTAGATTTGTCTGTTCTCATGGAATCTAACGATTTAACATTTCATAACCCTGGAAGCACTTTAAATTATACACAGACCCAATGGAAGAAAATCTCTGTAGTATATGCTCTTTTAATGAAAACTTTTCTATTTGGGGATTACATTTATACTCACCATAGCCATGTGTTTCTGATTATCTCCTGTTGACGGCCCCACAATGAGAGCTACTATTTTTTTTTGACTGTTGCTTGACTATTCATTTTCCATGTCTTCTTGACTCTCCCTTCTCCTTCAGTAACTATTCTATATGACTTCTACTCTCCCCAGCATCCAAACACAGCCCAATGCAAATGAGTGACTGTTTTCATTAAAAATGTTCTAATTAATTTTGTTTGCATTTCTAATAGTAAGTAATATATTTAACATTTGAAAATGTCTTAAAAATTACTTGTTTAGCCCAGGTTTCCTAGAAACAGAACCTGAGGCAAACACACACATGCTAACACTTTATTGGAAAATGCAATCCCAGAGACACAAGAGTGGGGAAGAGAAAGGAGAAAGAGGGAGAAAAAACACAAGTGTCTGCTTCATTGGGAGTCATATCCAGAGGGGCTTTTTTTAACCTACTGCATCTCGGAACAGGCATAGGAGGAAAGGTGCAGAAAGCAAGGAATTTATCTCCTGATCTCTTCTTCTGCCTTTTATTTGTTGGAGTCTATTTCACGCTACTTCCAGGTTGTGTAACCTGGATTGTTAGGGCAGCCACTGGGGAAGCTAGGGCCTGGTGGGTGTGGTCCTGCCAGTGCAAAGATAAGGTGGTCCCTCCTTTGCAATCAGTACTGTGAGTGGGAGCTCCCAGGTCTGTGGTGGCAGAGATGGTAAAAACAGTGTCCATAGTTTGATGACCACAAGTTTGCTAGTAATACCCACTAGAGGGGTAGATGAGGCAAAGTGATCTAGTAACTATTGATACAGTGGTTGTGATAACCTTGCTTTCTAAAAATCCTCCAGAAATGTCTAAATGTGCTCTCACTCTTGGGAAATGGCCTTGCTTTCTCAAAATTTTAAAAAATTATCTCACTGAGAATCTCATCTTCAACTGAAACGAAACAAAACAAAACCTCACTTCATCTTTGCCTTCCTCATCCCTTTCATTTATTCATTCTTTCATTTGGTCATTCATTTAGTAAACATTTATTGAGCAATTTGTATGTGCCAGGCTCTTTATGAGATACTGGTGATAACAGAAATAAAAGCCGCTATGAGACGGGCAAGGAACTAAACACAGGGCTAGGAAATTGATCATTATAAGACTACTTTTTGAGAGGCGAGAAGGAACTAGAGGGGATAAAGAAAGAAAAACGTATAATAAGCAGAAAAACCCACACATGCAAAGAAGAAATTAAATGGCCTGATACATTTGGAGAATTTAAAGTATTGTTATGTAGTGTGTGTGCGCGCGCGCACGCGCGCTTCTGTGTGTGTGATGCTGAATGAAGCAGGAAGGCAAATACACGCAAGGTGAAGTTCAACAGGGTCTGGATGTTGGAAATGTGCACATGATAAGGAATCTGGATTCTATTCTGAAAGCAACAGAGAATCCCTGAAGAATATTAAACAAAGATTGACATGAATAGATTAATGTATTAGAGAGAACATTCCACAACACACATTGCAGGATGGATTAG